GGCAAAATTTTTAACTTTATCCCGCTGTTTTACCACAAAGTAAATGTGTGCTTTTCAGAAATGTTGGAGAATGTTGGTAACCAAACAATCACTTCAAAACATCTTGTATACTTAATAGAAGAAAAAAATTAATACAGGTTTGGAACGACATGAGGGTGTCACAGTTATGGACTTTTGTTTGTGTTCCTTTTCTCCTGCCTTAGTCTTCCTTTGACCTAGTTTTCCTGAGTTACACTGATTAGTTAATTTGGTTCTCATTTGTCTATTAGTACTTGAGTCCTGTGTTCTCCCCTGGGGCCCGTTCTTCGTACGTCGCTTATTACATCCGAGATCAAATGACACATCCAAGATGATATCATCGCGCTAATTCGGTTCTTCGAACGCACCTGTTGTTGATGATTAGTATGGCTACATTATCTGTATAGCATGTGTAAGACTCGAATAAAATTATGAAGTAATAATTTTATGATGAATAAATCTTTCAGCGAGTAAAACGGGCTGTGTCTATAGTATTAAAGACTACACACCATTATTATATTATCTTTAAATTAATTTTTAAATGATTTTAAATTATTGTCCCTGGATCAGTAGGATACTCTTGTAATAAAGTAGCGGTGGTAGCGGACAGATTTTAAGTATCAGTTCTGCTTAAAAAGATGCAATCTAATCCTGTTTACATTAAATAAGCCTGCTCCCGAGCAGGTTTAAGCTTACGGACCTGTTGCTATGACAGCAACTCCGGGATGAGCTTCGAAGAACCAAACTATCCAAGATCATGCCAAATCGTCAACAAACAAATCCAGCTAACTGAGTTAGCGACATACGAAGAACGGCCCCTGGGCTTAAATGTCTGAAACAGGTGTCATTAAGCCTGCTCCCGAGCAGGTTTAAGCTTACGGACCTGTTGCTATGACAGCAACTCATGAGCTTCGAAGAACCAAATAATCCAAGATCATGCCAAATCGTCAACAATCAAATCCAGCTAACTGAGTTAGCAACGTATGAAGAACGGGCCCCTGGTTCTTGTTCTGCTATTTGTTGTTGTGTCGATGTGTTGCTACCCCGTACTCTTGGATTTTTCGCCTTCCTTAGAGAGACCGTAACACAATAACCGAACCTCAAATTGAGTATCAAAATAGCGGCGTTTTTCTTTCTCTTTTGTTTTTGTTTCTCCCCTCTCCCGGTCCAGCCGTCATCCCGCTGCATGTAGCAAATGCCTGAGCCCACCGCAGACGGAGAGCCTGAGTCTGCTGCGACACATGAGCCAGCGCGCATACCCGCTACTGAACCTATCATTGCCCCGGAGCCTGGGCCTCAAGACCGGTCTGACCAGTTGCGTGAGCCGGCAACATCGCCTGTCCTCGAGGGAGTACTGGTGGAGATCAAGGTCTTGGAGGGAAGCCCCGCCCACACTCCCGCCGCAGAGGGTGAGCTGCAGCTGGCCTCTGGGATGTATTATGAGGAACTAATGGACATTTTTCAAATTGACTTAATATACTGGTTTGGGGAGGTTATACCCAGTTCTCATGTGTCTCCACTGGTTCCGCCCAGCTCCTGTACTCCGGTGTTCCCACCCAGCCTCCCTCTCCCGCCTCCTCTTCAAAAACCAGTCAGTTCCTCAGCCCCATCTCCGCTGGTGCCTGTTCAGTCCCTCAGCTCACCCTCAGTCAGCGCCATCTGGGCGCTCTGATCCGCCTCGGGACTTCCAGTCTCCAGCTCCGCCTTGGCGTGAGGATCCCATGTCTCCGCCTCCAGCCTCTGAGCCCTGGACTCCACCTCGGTCCTTCGACCCATCGGCTCCGCCTTGGCTCCAAGCTCCCTCGTTTCCTCTGTGACCCGTCTTCCCACCAGCTCCACCGGGCTCCCTTGTCCCTCCGGCTCCGCCTTGGTCAGTTGTCGACCTGCCTGCACCTGCGGCTTCGGCTAGCTCCTCCTTCCCCCCGGCTCCGCCTTCATCCTCGGTCCCACCGCCTCAGCCTCTGGCCTCAGGATTTCCGGTTCCTCCTCAGATGCTCATCACCGCGGCTCTTTTGTCTATGATGCTCTTGTGCTTCTGCCTCATTTCTTTAATTGGTGTCATTGTTCATGTTAATCAACACCTGAGTTGCGTGTGAATTGGTATTTCCCTGATCTCTCTGATAATGAGTGCTGTAGTTCTGCTGATTGTTTTAGAACTAGAACTGCTCACATCTTCCTTCCTCTGTTGGACTGCTTTTGTTCCGGGAGGGGGCGAACTGTCACAGTTATGGACTTTTGATTGTGTTCCTGTACCTAGTTTTCCTGAGTTGCCCTGATTAATTAATTTGGTTCCACCGGTGTTTATTAATTATCTCATTTGTCTATTAGTACTTAAGTCCTGTGTTCTCCCCTGGTTCTTGTTCTGCTATTTGTTGTGGTATCAATGTGTTGCTACCCCGTACTCTTGGATTGACTATGAGACTGTGGATTATTATATTAAAGACTTTCTTGTGGATTATTCTTCCTCGTCTTCTTCGCCTTCCTTAGAGAGACCTTAACAGAGGGTGAGCAAGTAATAACAAAATTTTCATTTTTGAGTGAACTCTCCCTTTATCTAACATGAACTATTAGCAATATATTTTACAGGTTTTTTAACCTGTTACTATTTTAACCTGTAACGTTCATGTTAGTTCACAGTGCATTACCAAATGTTAAAGGATAAAAATGTATTTGTATTGAAGAATTGTTTATTGTTAGTTAACCAATGTAGTTAAACAATGATAACAAACTAAACCTTATTGTAAAGTGTAACCTATTATTAACATTAGCTATTAAAATGGCCTTGAGGTCTCTGAGACCCCAAACAGAACATGAGGGTTCAGTGCGCTCTTATTACGCTTTCCAATTATCAATAAAAATATGCTTTCCTAGGTGCCACAGCACTTCTTATTTAATCAACCTATGCCCCAGAACAATCCTGCCCTCTTTTTTCTGTGTACTCAACCCCCTCTGGTAAACCCCGGCAGGTGCTGATGGGGAAGGTTTGCTCTAAGGATTGAGCCCACACAGAAGGGGAGCAGCTGAGGGTAAGTTTCCTCAGGCGTCTCCGGACACACATTCAGTCCCTGGCACAAGAGGCCATTCAGCATTACACCGAGTCGGGGCCTTCACAGCACTTCTCTCACAGCTCACTGCGCGGGGGCTGCCCATTCACTACGCAATAGATCAGGATGGGAGCACAGAGCGATAAAAGAGACCTTCGATTATTCTGGACAAACTGCTGCTGCGTTTAAATATGACTGAGCTTCATAATGGGTCAGTGAATAACACATGCCTTATCTTAAGGGAAAAAAGGAAGATGGTGTGGAAAAAGTGGAAGAACATCATTGACTAATGAGCATGTTGAATTTTCCACCTGAGGGAACACCATGAAATTCATAGAGGGACTGATTTATCTCTTCACGCCATTTAAAATCCCACCGCACACCTCCTGCTCGGACAGAATCAGTGAATGGAGTTTAATTACACTGTTGGGAAACCTCTGCATTAGTATTTGGAACTGCATCATTATATCTGTTCATAAGGCCATTTCGTAATTGTTTTCATTCCATCTAATTGTTTTTTTCTCAAGACCAGAGACAAGGCATGAAGTGCTGATGGATGATTGGTCTGTCTTGACACACATTGAATGCATGCAAGGAGGATAAGGTGGGAAGGTCTATGCATAGCTCAAAATTCACATCAAGAAAATAAATATTGGTTGCTCGGGGGAGATGAATGCTTAGATTTAATGTGCATTTCTTTGATGTGCTCTCAGTAGTATTACAGAACAAAGAATATTTAAAACATGCTACAGAACTGAAAGATGATTTTCATACTCGAGTGTCTAGTTTGTGTCATATTTTGAAAAAAAAAAATAAAAAATCACTCTCTATATTCTGATGCTTTCGTGAGAAAAATAAACAGAGAAAGAGTCTGATAGAGCAGTGTTTCCCAACCTTTTTTCTCCCACAAGTAAGGCTCAAGAATCCCCTCATCACATTAAACAATAAACATAATCAATAATGGAAGTATTGGAAAAAATACTGGAAACATTTCTAGGTGCAAATATGAAAAACCTTAACAAAAAAAGAGCCAACAGTGAATTTATTTATGAAATGTCAAAATTCTGTTTTATATATTTAGCAAAGCAAAAATCAAAATCTTCCCAAGTAGCCCTTGTTGGGAATTAATGACACAAAGACTAAAAAAACCCAGATATTTCACATCCCCTGTCTATAACCTCACTATATTGCTGCTGTTAGACATCTACATGAGGCTAAAGAGCTTTAAAGTAATTGATTAATCAATTCATAGGCTATTAATGCTTGTTTTCTTGAACAGCGCTTTGATCCTGCATGTGTTCTGTACAACGGAAGCTATTACACGTTGAGCGTTTTGAGACTAGAAACACAAATATCTTACAGGCTACTAAATCATAAAATGATCTGTCACCCCAAATAATTGACCGACAACCCAAAACTATTACGCAAAAATCGTTACTAATTCAAAAGAATCAGTATTTTGAGCATAATATAAGCGTTTCGTGATGTACCAGAGACAAAGAGCGCGCGTCCATCATGACGCATAAGTGAGATTATTTGCACGCACGGCAGTGAAACGAAATTGACAAAAAACGACGTACACAAATGTGTTTAACTTGATAATTAGGTTATTGCACAACGACAGGCGTATTCCAGGCGTAACGCGCATTCAGCGTAATACGCATTTTTGCGTCTGAACCCTGCACTTTCTGCACTTGTGAACCACATATCACTAGTATATTCAAAACGCGCCACATCAAATATATTAGGCTCTAATACAAATAAGATCAATTTCATCTCCGCGAGGTATGCGCAACAGGGAGACAAAAACTTTCACATCCACACTTCTTTTTAATCATTCTGCCATCAAAGCAACAGATATACATGAACAGCAGCTGCAGTGCTTTGATATTCACCACAGACACTTATCTCTACACTGTAAAGACAGGTTGTACTCACAAGCATATGTCATGGAGAAGCTATTCCCCATTTTGACCATATCCACTTGAGGTACCAGTTTAGGGATATCCTGGTGATGCGAGAGCGCAAACCGAAACACTTCATATTCGTGTGATTCGGTTGGGAATAACCCTCCTGTGGGGGAAGAAAAATCCCACAATACATTAAAACAACCTAGGCAGGATTCTGGTAACACAAGTGAAATGACTAAGTCCATAATTATGACTCTTTTCCTATTTTTTTTATTCAAAACGCATCACTCTACACTCCATCCTTCACTTTTGTCATTCACTCACCTATGTTGATATTACTTGGGAAACTGGAACTGAAGCACAATCCCAGAAAACTGGTATAGAGCAGTGTGAGGCTTCGCAGCATATTTCCTTTTGCATTAGCGAAGAAAAAGAAAGCCAAATCCCAAGCATGGGTATGCGCGCGGTGTAGAATACGTCTTCTGGATGCTCTCACACTATCCGCACATCGGCGAGTGAGCAGCGTGAATTACAGGTGCACCTCTTTGCGCGGGCTGCCCTCGCTCGCACTCGCGCCGCGTCCTTGTGTGTTGCGCTCCTAGTCGTTCCTTCAGCACGAGCAGCACTTCCCCTGAGAGTCGCGGGCTCGAGAGAGAGAGAGAGAGAGAGATCGAGAGAGAGAGAGAGAGAGAGAGAGAGACTCCGATAACCTTATTCCACTCCAGCGCAACACCATGTGTGGACTTTCTTCTCACGTTCACAATTAAGCACTTACTCTGTATGACTGAATTACAAAGCAGTCTTTCTCGCGCTCTAACTGTGCGTCTTGTTACGCACAAAGAGTCGATGGCGAATAACATGAGCGAATGCTTTGAAATTATGCTTTAGACCTTCGTCACTTCAAGGTCCTCCACTGTCAAAGACAATAATCGCAGGGCTCTGATATTTCCTTTGGTTTCCTCTCCTGTAATGATGACAAATCTGCTTGTTTTTTTTCTTTTCAACAAAACCTAGGAGTGATTAAAATAATTAACTGTGCTGAATTCCAGCAGTTTCAAGAACTGTATGTTCTTCATTAAAAACAACAGTTGTTGTGGGGACAAATTTAAATAGGAAATATGATGCTAGTTTACATATTGGACATCTCCATAATATATTTTTTATCATATTAACTAAGCCATAATATTTTAACATATAATTTGAAGTCATCTTGCCTTCAAGTTTGCCAAGGCCACCTGGTTGACAACCACTGATTTAGAGTATGGTAGATAAACTTTACTAGCCGACATCAACAGAGAGACCATCTGCTGCATCCCAAACCGAAGACAGCTGCTGTCCAGTTCCCTCATAAGGAAATGAAGGTTTCAGACAGGCTTACAATACTCCATAACATGCCAATACACATGATGGTATAAATTTTGTATATTAAAGGTATAACTAATGTTATATGTAGAATTATTTGAGCATTTCACCTGAAATCCTCCTAATCTGTATGACTCAAGTGTTGTCTGTGTTTGATCGTGTTGCAGGGGATTGCAAGGGAACAGCCTGTAAACAGTGTGTTCAATGTAGGGAACAGTGAACAGTGCATACAGACCGTGTGAATTTGAGCAACTAATCTCATGCAAGAACATTAAGACTACAAAAACATGTAACTGCAATAAAATCAACAACAATTTAATCACTTCCTATACAGTTAGGGTTAATAACGTAAGGCATTTCTGAGAACTGGATGAAAATAAGAACAAAAAAACTATTTGAAACTTAATCTCTATTTTCAAGGCATGCAATTAAGATTTTTAATTATCTTTATCATGAAATCTCTTAAAATCTCTTATCTTCCTTGGTATAGCCACAACATGTGGAGTTAAAATTGTGATAGTTTGTAACACGCAGGCTCAAGCACTGAAACCATCCTTTATAATGTGGCTGGGCAATCTCTACCACTTAGAGCGGCACAGCCGGCTTCGCATCCACTTTGAGCTGAGAGCAATGACAAGATTAGAGCTCTCGGGCTGATTCAGAACAACAGTGGGTTATTTATAATCCACTGCACTTTCAGTGCGATAGAGATTACCTGCTGGCAAACACTGCAGGAAAAAACATGCCAGTCACTGTCGCAGCATCACTACAATCATTCTCAAACCATTCAAGATGCTCATGTTCTCATGGATCCATGTATTATACATCATGCTTCTAGGTTAAGCTATCACATGTCCGAGGCTGCAGTAAAAATATTTTGTAATTTGTCATATTTTGTTGACGAGCAAACCTACCAGGGTTCAGCTCAACCAAGTTTCTGCATCAGCATCAGGTGTTTTAAATGCAAGGTCGGCTTAAATGCTACTCAAGTTACTTTGTCAGGTCTTTTGTGATGTATGTTTCAAACTTGTTTATGAAAAAGGTTGTAAATCCTGCCTTTGACACAATTAGGATTAAGGATAAGCTCATTTATCAGACCCAAGCAATTTCTCTCTTCTGGATAATGGAAAAATTACTTTTCTTTTTAATATTGTCTCACACAAACAGAGGGCCCAATTAGCATATTGTCACTGACAATAGAATTTAAGGGATTAAATTGGTGTGGGGCGAGAAACAAGAGTGCTTCAATTTAACATGCACAGTGCACCAATGCTAAAGCATGATAGATTCAGTATCTGGCTGCTGTGAAACCTTTGAGACTCGAGGAAATCTGGTGAGACTGCAGAAAATGAAAGAGAACGTCTGAGGATTTACCATCATCTGCAAAGTGTGAAAGAGAAGGTATCGTTTAATTAGGATCTGAGTTCAAGAGGAAGGCACACATACTAATGAGTCGAGACAGGGGCGCCGCTAAGGGGGGGAAAGTTAGTACGATTCTAAGGGCCCACGCACTTTTGGGGCCCCTTGAGATCTGTTTTATTAGTAGTAACAGTAGTAGTAGTAATATAATAGAAATTATAAATGTATCTACCAAAAAGTTATAAATAAAACAAAATTTCGGCTTATTTCTGCATTTCCCGCAAAATTATCTCCCCCCCATTCAGTGCATGGTTTCGTCTCGTCCTACGTAGCCTAGAGTCACCGAGTGAGAGATCAGATGGTAAACTGTCAAATTAGAGATGTCTTCGAGTTCGAGGGGAGCAAACCGAGCCGGACGATTTGATCAGTCGGGATACACTGCACGCGAATTTTCTATTTTGCCACACTAAATTTAGCAATAAACACGTTGAAAATAATACAAAATAAACATGTCTGTCAAAACGATCTCAAAGGAGACTTTTATTAAGCAAATCAAGGAGTGAATTACTCATCCACTGTTTAAAAAAAATACTTTAGCTGGGTTTCCACAGGCAGGGTCACAATTATCTACAGTGTATGAAGCTAAAGGTTTTTGGGTTAAGGTTCATAATGTAGAAGATTTTTAACATTGTATGCTGTATGTGAATAGGTAGCTAGCAAACAATGAATACAGCTGTTAAGCTAGTCACATTTAGATGAGTAAGATCATGACTGAGAAATGTTGGATACTGGAAATGCTGCTATGCGGTATCCTATTTATTATTTTAGGATTTTTTTGTTTGCCCCAGTGAAGCATTTCTATTAATATAACTGATTAAGTAGTCAAACTCATTCCATATCAGCAGAATAGTGTGGTACAGAAAGTCTATGTCCATAAAACAGGTTCTGAATGAATTATGTTACTGATACCTAATGGTCAAAAGCAATAGCAAAAGTAATAGATCAATATTATTAAATTGCAGGCAAAGATTTTGAATAGCTAGGTTGGCTTGTACACTATATTGGCAAAAGTATTGGGATACCCCCTTCTAATGAACAGTTTTGTCTACTTTAGTAATTTCCATGAGTACAAATCTGAATGTTTAAGCATATAATGATATTCTAGGGAATTGTGTGCTTCTAATTTTATACCAATAGTTTGAACAGGACCCTTTTCTATTCTAACACGACAATGCCTCTGTGTATAAGGCAAGGTTAAAAAAAAAGATTGATTCAGTCAGTGTGGAAGAACTTGACTGGTCTGCAGAAAGCAAAGTCCTAATCCCAGCTGAACACCTCTGGTGTGACTTTAAATGCAGACCTTGAGCCAAAAACTCATCACCAAACACCAATGACTTGTACATATGCGTACAATAATTTTAGACACTTCCAAAACTGTGGCAACAGAGATGGAAATAAAATTTTTAAATACATGAATGTTTCCATCTTTGATGCCTCAGTTTTGGAAGTGCCCTTTTCTGTTCTAAAGAAGGGGGTGTCCAAATACATTTAGTCATTGGTGTTTGGTGATGAGTTTTTGACTCAAGGTCTGCATCATTTAAAGTCACACCAGAGGTGTTCAAACTGGGATTAGGACTTGGCTTTATGCAGACCAGTCAAGTTCTTCCACACTGACTGAATCAATTTTTTTTACCTTGCCTTATACACAGAGGCATTGTTGTGTTAGAATAGAAAAGGGTCCTGTTCAAACTATTGGTATAAAATTAGAAGCACACAATTCCCTAGAATATCATTATATGCTTAAACATTAAGATTTGTACTCGTGGAAATTACTAAATTAGTCAAACCTGTTCATTAGAAGTGGGTGTCCCAATACTTTGGGCAATATAGTCTATGTTTGGTGTGGTATAGGGGGCCCAACCTCATATTCTTTCATAGGGCCCAAAATAGCTAGTGGCGCCCCTGAGTCGAGATGAAGCATATGGGCTGCAATCAGCCACACCAGCTTCTTACCATGAAGCTCAATTACTTATTGGAAAGTGAGAAGGTGAGGAGGACCTTCTCATTAAGCCTGTATCATATTCAACCCAAAATACCTCTATTAGACATCAGGCAAAAAGAGCAAGTAGTTAGAGGCTTGGGAAATTAGTTGCACACATTACGCAAGATGTTTTGATTTTTGTACACACAGCTTGTTCTTGGGGCCTACATAATTAACATTATCTTTTTTGCAGGATGGCGTCTGCTGTCAAAGAACTCGGTTAATGGCAGCATATGATTCTTCCATGTACATTAGACAAGATACTGATTCTTAGAATCATCTTTAATTTACATATTGTCCTCCAGAAGACACAAACATTTGCATAAGCTTAGAATAAGCATTATGTCCATACCACTAATCACATAACACCTCACAGCAGGCCACATAAAAGGACTTTCATGAGTTCACACATAACACCTCACAGCAGGCCACATAAAAGGACTTTCATGAGTTCACACTTACATATAATCAGATTGAGCAAATAGTATGCATATTTGGCATGCTGCCTGAGGGTCCTAGCTTTAGCCCGAACCTAGAGAACTCCCCCATATCCCAAGCTGGGATAGGAACAGTTAGGAGTGAGGAGTTGGGGTGGAGGAGGGATGTCAGAAAACAGTTATAGGACAAAGGTAAGTTGGCTGTATATATACTTACTATCACGCTTGATTACCTAAACATGCTCCACCTGAACGTGCTCCTCCCAAACTTTCTTAATAAAACATCATTTAGAGCTCACTTAAATATGATGTGGTTCATGATTGCATATACCAGGTTTTCTCACCTAACAATGTCTTAAATTTCAATTCAATTTCTACATTTAAATTGAGGTTTCAAACAGAATATAGAATTGCAATTCAAATTTGAAGCAGAATTAATTGTGTATTTTTTTTTAAAGAAGTTAGACAAACTTTGAAAAATCTTGAAATTTGAAGGTTTAAAGGCCAGATATAAAGATAGATTACATTAGAAATGAAATGATTACATATATATTTTCACATCATGAATGTGGACCTAATTGATGGCCTAAGGGTTTGACTGTTTTAGACAAATGTTTGACTTTAGACAACTTCTTTGGCTCTACAAATTGCTCTGGAATAAAAATATAGTCGATAAGACAGCCACTGTCAACACCAAATGAACAATGGCATGTCACCAAAATTATGCACTTGAAACCCTTGAGTATTACCAAAGACTGTATATTCCAAGTTGGATCACATGTAGTACTATGAATGGGAGAAACTGCAATGCACAATATGGCGGAACAAGTCCCACCTTCAAAAAAATAAATAAAAGAGCAACTAGAAGCTCCAGATCCCATAGAAACAGTCAGTGTTCTGAAATGCGTGCATGGGACTGCACACGCGCAATGGACCAACCTAGATACAAAGTATTTGTTTTGATGCTATTTTGAGGACAAGAAACAACATTTTTGGGACAGTTCATGTCGGATTTTATTGCTTTTGTGAAATATTTAATATAAAGTCGGCATAATGGAAAATTCACCCTATCCATTTTCCAAATGCATGTTATAGATCTTACTGTGAACAATTAATCCGTCATGTGTTTCTTTTCTTTTTTACATCACAGTACAGAAGAAAAGATCTGTTGCTATTTCTGTTTCATCGTGACGTAAAATTTGGGTTTGGCAAACAGTTTTTGATATTTCACTATTACCCCATTCATGAAGATAGGAGTTAGTCTTGCATGTCTTAAATGTGATTATTGATGTGCAAATTAATTAGTCTTTGTGATCGATTGTGTTGGGGGTTTTCTTAAAGGGGTCATATGATGTTGCTAAAAAGAACATTATTTTGTGTATTTGGTGTAATGAAATGTGTTTATGCGGTTTAAGGTTCAAAAAACACATTATTTTCCACATACTGTACATTATTGTTTCTCCTCTATGCCCCGCCTTTCTGAAACGCGTCAGTTCCACAAGTCTGTAGATTCTACAGAACACATAGAAATAGACAGGCAAATATTTATTATTTACAACAAGTTTGCATAAATTGTTATGGTTATGGTGTTATGACTGAATTAATTATCATATTTGTTTGACTGGAGATAATTATCTTATCAGATTGTGATTATTTTGGTTTAATTGTCTCCGGATCCCTTCGTTTGCATGTGGCATGCAATATATTTTCCCATTTTTGAATATTCTAAACCACAGCAGGTCTATAGGGACAAATTACGCTGTAAAGAACTGCAATTGACACCAATTGATGGAAAGGCAGAAAACAAGTGAGTCAAACAAATGTGTGCTTGGCATTTTTTAAGGGCTTAAGTCCCTCATCTGTCTCTCTCACTCATTCCATGTTCCCTGTATAATTGTCTTTCCAACCCGCTGCCTGCCGCTGGATGTAGGGGTTTCAGAACGTTACCACGGTAATACTGATTGATGGAGTCGATACCTCGCCAGGTTCCAGAACATCGAACACCCCCACACACACAGACATGACAAATTTCGGGGAGCAAATTATAATCGCTCGACTCATGATGAATTCCCTCTGGGAAAATAGAAATATTGTGAATACTTGTGAACTTTGCCTGCCACATGGCCATTCATTTAGTACACTCATGTAGGAAAGGGGGAGAAAATAAAGACAAGGTGAAGATGCGGAAACTGTCACTGATGAGGATGGATAGGAGAGATGGAGGGTATTTGATGGGTGGATATACACAAGAGGCTATTACTTCTGAACTACGTCTAGTCTGATCCACATTTAAAAAGCCGCTGAAATACATCTAGTACAACAGTTATGTTACAGAGAAACGTTTGCCCTCACTAATAAAAGGAGCAGGAAACAAGGAAATTAATGTGATCTGCTACAGAGATGTGTGGGTTAAAGTAAGGCAGCAAGACACGTCAGGGTTGCTTCAGTCCAAATGTGACTAGTAGACAAGCATTAAAAATCAATCAAAACAAATTAACAGTTGACAGCAATAGCTGTGTTTTGTTAAATGGAATTGAACCTGGTTGCAAAGCAGTCACAATAATGAGTGC